TTCTCGTCCATAGTTGATTCATCAAAATGGCTGCAATACGGGAACATTACCTCGCAAGATGAGGCACGATACTGTAACCTTCAAGATAGAAATATGTATGGAGCTGAGGAAGGTATGTGCCAACATTGTAGGGAACGTGTGGAGACGGTGGACCATCTAGCAACGCAGTGCGAAAAAATGTTACATCACGACTATACTAGAAAACATAATGAGGTCCTACGATGCATTCACTTGGGATTCTGCAAAAAGTATGGACTGAAAGCATTTCCGCGCTTGCGAAGCCATTGTGTTGTCGCGAATGAAAAAGTGAAGAGCAGAGCCGATACACGAGTAAGAACAGCTCTAAAGATAAATGCTGATCGACTGGATATCGTGATCCACGATAACAATCGACATGTAGTAATCCTGATAGAGGGTAGCATTACTATCAGGTAGTCAAAACCGAAAGACGAAGATATGACTTAAGGGCTAATAAACTTAGGTTAGAGATGAAAGCAGGACCGAAATAATTCCGTATATGATGACTGGGAACGAGATTATAGCGAACTTCCATGAACACTGCAAAAGGATATCAGTATATCTGGTCACGTCGAGGCATATATCCAATCGATGCTGCTCAAGAATATGCTCGAATGCATCTCATTCTATGATCTCTATGGATTTCACGAGAAAGAAGCGAAAGAGATCAGCACAACAAATCTGAGCGCGGGATAAGTACAACCAGAGTGCTGGAATACGATCCAGCGCCAAAATCAATAAAGCAGTAAAAGAAGACTAACCTCCAAGTTTTCTTTTCTTTTCTTTGCATATATAAATATTGCTCGGCTATGTCGAGCGGTTGACCGGCCAACTAGTCAAATCGCATCACAAAGCAGGAAATGGAGGTCAAACGGAAAAAAACCGAGCCTGGAATTATGTTGGGAAACAAGTGACGTTGCCAAAAAAAGCTTAGTGAAAGATATAAGAAGACATTCAACTTATGTACTGGAACCAGCAGAACTGAATGCCGGTCGAGTACAGCAAGAGTTCCCGAACACGATCAAACGGGAGCATCAAGAAGATAGAAAAGAAGACCTGCTGCACATGATATACATGTGAATTGAACTTTACAAATTACAAATATATATATGTAGAATGCACTTATTCTAAACCGTTGCTCTTAACCGCGTATTGACCAGTGGTTCAAGTTTAGTCGAAGTGAGTCAATATTTTAATGCAAT